TTTTGAAAAAATGCAGATTCATAAAGAGGAGCCACTCGAGCTCATTCAAGTGTCAGTGTCAGCCTATTCTGATTATCTTTATACAAATCTTGTCTGTTTCTGAAATATGCAGTTAGATCACACCACAAAACCTAGCACACACTTATGCCTGAAAAGGCATCAGTCTTTTCCATTTCAATAATTTCAAAGGTGCTAAACGAGAGAAGGATAATTACTAATTTCTTCCATTCTTAATGTTTTTACCTCAGCATTAATTGTTTTTCTCTGAACTGTGTGAAATATGAGCATACAGAAAATCAACACTGAAAGAAAGAAGTGCTGTTAACTTTGTCAGAAACTCCTAAACCAGGAGAGAAATAATACCTTGGTAATTACAAAGATTACTTTTACATGGTCTGCATTTCCCCTGCAATAGGAAAGGCTTCTTCCATTTATTTGCAAAGGAACATCAAAGATAGCCTCAGGGGATCTGCAGAATTTCAGTGGTCTTTCTTTATCAAAACAAGCTGCTTTAATTAGCCTAATATGTGATATGAAATCAATCAGTAATTAGTATCTTTGATCAAAATCTGCACTAAAGCTCAATTCTTCAGAATGTTTGATTTGCAAACAGCAAATGAAACAACATGTTTGAACAGAGCTAATTAGGTGTATATATAGCAGTATTTTTGGGGGGTGTATATATTAATAACCATCACCTTTACATAAAATGCCCAGTGGGCATTTTCTGATGGGTATAATTCATAAGATATATTGGTTTTGAAAAAAGTGAAAGAGGTTTGCCTCTTCTGAAGGCTGGCTCACACATGTACCTGCTTCAAAAAATCCTCTATTCTGAAACAGAGGTAAAGTCCAGGGTTAAGAAAATAATCAGAGATTATACTAAAATCCTACCTCACACAGTGTCAATGCAGGACAGGGATGCTTGCACTGTAAGGGAAGTCTATCAACTGAAAACAGAAGAGAAAATTATTGCTTTGTTTCTCCAACTTCAGCTATAGCGTCTTTTCAACACTTCATTCGAAATCTAACTCTTGTTGGGAAGCAAGCATATTAAGGGACCTAAACTTAGCATCCCTTGAAAAGTCTGAATAAATAGCTTTGCCTTTTCTGTCTGTGTGCAGAGCTCCATGTTTGTACCTTCCTCATGTTTCCAAATTCTGCTTTGTTGGAAGATTTGCCTCCATTTCTCTGAACAAGTCAAGGACCAGGCTGAGTACTAGATTTATATGTGAGTATATCCTAGACATGTCAGGGAGAAAATGAAATGTTTTAGCATGAAGAATACATGAAGAAGCCTCAGCAGTGGATGGCTTTGGGTGTCAGACCTGCATCACACAGCTGCTTCCGCCCTAATAACCAAGATTTGTGATTATTCACCATCTCATGAGGGGTCACTCCTGCTCCAATGACCCCTCCCCATCCTCCCTGTGTCCTTTTTTCTCCTGTACCTCCTCCCAAGCCCTTCCTGCCTGCTCTCTCCCACAGCTGTGCTGCTCTCATTGTAGCTCCCACAGCCCTAGTGAGGGCTCTTGCAGGCAGCACTGTGATACTGCAAACATTCAAACCCTGGCAGCTATGATGCTGCTCTTGAACCTCCCCATGGCTCTTGAAGGCACCACAGCTTCAGGGTGCTCATTTTCAGCCTTGCAAACACTATGGCTGGGGGAGGCTGGCACTGGAGAGAAGTGTGAGTGGAAGCTGTGAGCCATTGCTCGGTTTATGCATAGGCTTAGCTAAAACTGCACGCATGGTGTCACATCGACATTGCACATTCAGGGAGCGATTCATTTCTGGGTGCAAGCTCGTGCCATCTCCTCAGAAAATATGGATTTTCTGAGCAGAAATCTCTTACAGCTCTCCCTCAGCATTACTCACTGCTCTCAGCTCAACTCTATTGCCAGGAGCCCCCTGCATACCCAGTCTTCCCCACTCCTGTATGTAATTTCAGCATCTCACTTCCTAACTGGAAATACTTTGTACTGTAATGTGAGGAGATGGCAAGCAAGGAAACAAGCAAGAACACTTCACGTCTTACAATCAAATCCATTTGATTTGGGCAGTATCATGTTTTTCACTCAGTGTGCCTTTGAAATGAAACAACACCCAGCTACGCACTGCCCTTCAATCCATAACCTGCTTTGCAGAGTGCAAGAGAGACACAAAGGAACAGTGACACATTATGCTTGAAATGCCTTCTGTTTGCCAGTTAGAAGCATCCCAAATCAGTGCAAATCTTCAGTCAAAGGGAAATTTTGTTCTGCTGCTGCCAAGCTTTGCATATCAGAGCCAAGCACAAATGCTAAGAGCTGAAGTGAAATCATGCTAGTCAATGAGGCAGAGCCTGCTTCTTCAAGCAGCAGTTCCTTTGAAATAAGGGTTATACCTTGGTCAGCACATTGAACTCCCACTGCAGGCTCTGGGATGCCAAGAAGGAGGTCAAAGAAGTGCAACATTATTAATGTCATGTTTTAAGAACAGACCATTGTCCACTCTGCCTAACTGTACTTTTGTTCTTTCTCAAACTCCACGCTCATCAGTTACTGAATGCTGGGATTTTGCTGTATTGGTTCTGCTAATCATTATATATTTTATGTTGCATTTAGCATTTCATCAACCATGAAAGAACCTGGACTTAAAATGGACAGATCACAGTGAAATAGAACTTCAAGACAAAAAGAGAAATAGATTTAAGTAGAATGGTCAATTTAAAATAGACTTTTTCCCCTAGTGCAACTGACTTTGCATTCATTTTCAATTTAAATAACAAATAAAAAATGAAGTAATGAGTCATTACAGGGGCCAGATAACTGTCAGAGCTACACTGGGTTAAATTCAAATTATACTGCAGTAACTGCTGAAAGGTAGTCTAGTTAAAATAGAACAAACTGAGTAAGCAATTTCTTTTCCTTTCCACTCCCTTTTGTCCTGCTGCAATGCATATAGTTCTTAGGTATAGGTGTATAACATTTATTCTACATTTCCTTGCTTACTTTCAATCTTTATAATGATGACTGCAAATTTATTAAAGCTGCCCTAAACCCTTCCAAACAAATATTCTCAGTTATGTCCCAAGGAGTAGCTACTGCCTTCCATTGTAAACCCTTTCAATGTCATTTCCAAAACTTTTTAAACCATCTGCTCAGCCTCAGCAAAGACAGTGTTAAAAGACTCACTGTGGATGGCTCTCAAGGCAAGATGCATAATTAAACTTTCTAGGTATTGTCATAGTCTACTCCCCAGAAATCCAATCTTCCAACAGCCAAATCATCTGTAAATGTTATAATCAGGAAGCAGTTTTCCTTGTTCCATGCTGGGAAATGCAAACAGGCACTAATCCCAAGCATACTGGACACTTATGTCTCCACAGTCCCTGTGTAAATGACACAACATGTCAAGGAATACATACTTTAACTGCTGCTTTGCCACCTTTTGGCTTTTCAGACATTTTACTTTTGCTAAGGACAGAAGCATAGAAAACCACAAGGCAGATTAGAAGAAAAGTGAAAAACCAAACAACCCTAAAATATTATGCCTGTTCGTAAGGTAGTATGAATGCTGTGGAAGGTAAAGCTATTTTCATCTGCCCAGCACTGAGCCTGCAACTTGGAACCTGCTGCTCACCCTGGTCTCTGATGTAGAAACCAGGAGCATTAGTTCTTAATTAAGCTGTTTTGTTAGTAGCAAAATCAGTGACACCTGACCTACTGCAGATTTTTGTCTCACAGGTCATGTCCCATTTGGATTCTCTACTTTTAAATAGTGGTGAGCTGATATTGCAGCCTTTACCACTGTGGAGGAACTAAGTCACAATTCTCTCTTCTACCCACTTGAGAATTTTCATGAAACTTGATGGAATTGTACACCTTTGAAGTTTCTACCTCCCTCCCAAATTTGCTTGAAATATGGACAACATGTTCAAAAAATGGAAGAGAGAACAGAAAAAGAAGAGACAAATATCACAGCTTTATAAATATCATTTCTTTGTGAAACCCAGCTAGAAACAGAAGTTAAAAGCAAGGGAATTCTTGCAAATACACTACTACAAATACACACTTACAGGTAATGCAAAAAAAGAGTGATATACTATGAAGGAGTGATATTATGACTATTTGTAAGTAAAGTAGTTACTTATTAGTAAAATGCAAGCTAAGTCCATCAGTTCCTCCTCTGAGCTTAACACCACTCTTGATTTATACCACAGAAAACTCTGCATTATGAAATTAATCATATTTCATGATGCTTGGCTATAACCAGTCTACTGTGAAGTGCCCATTGGACATGCTGTTATTCAACCAAGATTGTTATTTTTTGCAAAGAGCGAAAGTAAATTGTTAAGAATTTCTACAAATTCCTTCCTCCTTCTTACACCCTTCTTTACCCAAATGCCCCAAAGACTTTCTATGATTTCCTCATACAAATAAAAGCAAAGTATTTGGGAAGCCAAGCTAAATTTACAAACAAATCACACAGCATCTCAGATCCTGTCTGACATAGCCAGGCAGTCTTAACAGCAAGAGCTCTGGATTTTTTTCCTTCTATTTAACAAATATTGTTTCAGGAAAGTGTTCCTGACAAACTCCTGGGACAGGATGAGATCATCTGCTAGGGTGGAGCTGTTCATGTCACTTGTTGCTGCTCAAATTGCTATTTTGCTCTCTTCCCATCTTTTTCCCAGTTAGATGGTCCTGGCCAAGCTCTGGCACTTAAGTGATTTTGCCCTCAGTCAATTCAACTCACTAAACCAGCAGGAAAGTAAATTCAGCACTACAAAGTAAGCTGCTTTTGTTTTGCCTTGTATAAAAGAACTTACTGGCCCATTCATGCTTCTCTAAAGCTTCTCAGAAGTGGTGACACAAATAACTAACACTTTGAGGCTGAAGCAGTTTTAAGTCAACTGGAAATCTCTGCTTTTCATATTTAATACAATCTGATACAGAAAAAAAGAAAAATTAAATTAAATTAAAATGTAATTAAACATTAAAATTAATGTTACTTACTATTTGTCTTCTGTTTTCTACCAGGTAGATGCCAACAATCCCTAGGAAAGATCCAAAGCCAAGCTAAGGCAAAGAACAAAACCAACAGAAATGCATGAGGTCAGCTTATCTGGACAACATACCAACACACACAGTGATATCTTAGCTAATGCACCACACAGATGGGGTAAATGGGGTGGTCAAGGGAAAAGGTGGAAGTTACTGTTGGACATAAATCATATCATGCAATGGGAAATGGCCAGGACTGCAGATCTTTCATAGCTCAGTGCAAAATTTGTCATGCAGAAACAGAAGTCTGTACAGACATGCATCTATAACCTGACTACTGTTACCATTGTCATGTAGTTTTACACACTGTAAAGCAAAAAACTAAGTAAAGTAGGAAAAAAAACCATTTACATTTAGTCCACACATCATAATTTTGCAAAGCTTGAGGCAATTGCAGACAGTTTTTTCTCAAAAAATTAATGTGTTCCCCAAAGTTCAAACCCTTGGAATTATACCTGTTTGATTTTAATGATTAGACACTATCACACAACCCAGAAAAAATCCTTGCTACAATGCTAAAAGGACCAGTACAGTCAGCTGCTAAAAGAACCAGTACAGCCACAGGAGGGAGAGAGAGGGGAGGAAGGGACACTGAAGTAAGCTGGCCTTAATGTTCCAGTGTTGCTTCAGCATTGGGATGGTAGGAAAAGTCTCCTCCTTACAATGGGCCCATGAAGGTTTGGAGCAGTAGAAACTCCTTGGATTCCCAGTTCCAGCCCCACTCTGTAATAAGGCCTCTGAACCCAGCTCAGAGCCTCTCCTCCAAGCACAAATGAAGTTTTTAAGGACTACACGTCCCAGCCAAGGGCTTGGGCAATGCCCGTAAATTCCTGGCTGTTCCGCACAGCTGCTCACAGCAGAAAGCAAATCCCTGCAAGCACTTTGCCTGCTCGGTATCACCAGAGGAATCTGTCACTCGCTTTCAGGAAAGCCACTGTACGGAAAGAAGATTTGCTCTTGAGTGCTTTGGGAAATTTATGTGAAAGGGAGGCACAAGGACTAAGAGCAGAGACTTTGAAGGAGTGGGCAAGTGCACCCATGCTGACAGCTAAATAGTAGAGACACTTGGAACAGTGAGCAAGGACACTCTGTTCAGGGGACAGCAACTTTGCAAATTAAGATAACTACATCAAAATGACATCTGGTTCCAAGCCCCATTTTTCATTCCAACAGGAACAATCCATAAAGCCTCATTTATGGCTGATGCAGGGAACACAAAATGAGTAATATCTGTGCAAACAAAAAGAATGACCAAACACAGAACAATAACAATTAAATCAGAAGGAGAAGAATCACAGAGATCATGATGAAGGCCACAGCATTATTGAAATTGTTTTAGGGTCATAGGAGCTAGTTTTTTGTCTTTTTAGACAACAGGCTGTTTGGGAGCTCTGGGAGTCCAGGTCAGTATGGTGCTGGGGACCCTGTTGAAAGAGTATAGAAATAGCAAACAAAATAATACAGTAAGTAGTCACAGAGAAGTGACATTAAATATTTAAGTATAAACAACATTTGTAAGGAAATGAGGCTGAAGCAGTTCCAACTCTGTCTTTGCAGATCATTCCAAAAATGCAGTCCAAACAGATGCTCAAGTAGTAGTCTACTAAATGCAGACACCTTCCAAAGAGTAATATTATATTAACTCATCTCACACAGAAATATTTTGTGTTCAATTACTTTGAATGCATAAGGATGGTAATACCTAGCACAATAAAGATGTATTTAGAAAAAAGATTTTTTTCAAAACAAATTACAAGTGACCACATATGCAGGGAAATTGAGGCACTTAACTCTTCATGAAGCCAGTGGGAACTTGGTAGAAGCCAAAATGTATTATGGATCTAACCCTGAAGACCTGTTCTGTAAATACTTCTAGAAACAAGTAAATCTCTGCCAGTGGATAGTGTTACTTATCTTCATAGGTGTCTTCAAGGCAGGGTTAATTAATTCTGCATAGTTTTTAAGACCAAAATTGCTTACCTAAGGTCAGCGGAGGTTTCACCTCATCTACCAGCTGTGATATTAATATTTTACTACTGAAGTCTATGAGAACTAGACTTCATTTTAAATTTAAATTAACACTGTCTGTCCTTATATTCTTGCTTTTCTCTGAGCCCAGCAGTTAAATATGTAGTGACAAATTCACTCCCCCAGTTTAGGTATCTGAGAGTCTGGGATCAGGGCTATGCTGGTTTTCTAAGCTCCCTCTACTGTCAGCAGAGAAGAGAAGCACTTTTTGAGGAATACTCAGGTCATTCTGAAGGAGATGATGGTGAGAGGGGATTCTGCCCCTCTGCTCTGCTGGGATCCCACCTGGAGTGTGCCCTCAGTGGGGCTCCCAGCATAGCAAGGACATGGACATGCAGGAGTGAGGATAGAGCAGGGCCACAAAGACAATCAGAGGGCTGGAGCATCTCTCCTATGAGGGCAGGATGGGAGAGCTTGGGTTGTTCAGCCTGGAGAGTAGGCTCGGAGGAGAACCAGTTACTGCCTTCCAAATCCTAGAGGTGCCTTTCAAGAAAACACAAAGACATGAGACAAGAGGAAATTCCTTCAAACTGAAAGAAGGTGGGTTTAGATTAGATATTAGGAAGAAATTCCTTACTGTGAAGGTGGTGGGACTGCAATAGGTTGCCCACAGAAGTTGTGAGTGCCCCATCCCTGTAAGTGTACAAGGCCAGGTTGCATAGGACTTTGAGAACCTGGTCTAGTGGACGATGTCCCTGTCCATGGCAAAGGAGTTGAGATAACCTTTAAAGTCCCTGCCATCCCAAACCATTCTACAATTCTGTGACAGTTGCTCTGCCAATGCTGCACTGGAGTCAGTCGCTTCTGGCAGTGAGGCAGAAACAGAACAGGGCTGTCACACACCTCTGACCAGGCTTTTGGCAAGACACCATGTGAGATTTGCACAGCACTTTAAATTCTTGCTGCATGTTTGTGATATTTAATATCTTGATGTCATTTACATTGGCAATTACAAAGGAAAATTATTAATAAACTGTTTTGTTTTCAAAGCATTCTAATAAATTCTTGCTTTTCTATCTATTTAATAATGAAAACAAGATTTTCAAAAAATATTTTAGCAGGTGATCTTTTTCAGATGAGTGAGTAGACATTGCATTATTCCTACAAAACACTAAATGCTGAAATAACCTGCTTTGTACACATGGGTTTATTACTCACTAAAAACAGCAGTTTAAAAATGAAACTTCTTTCTAGGGATGAATGCAGATAATGTGGTCTTACAAAAGATTTTATGTCAAATTTTGGAAGAAGAGAGCTTTATCAGTATTCATCTATCTATTTTAGGCTAATGAGAGAGAAAATCATTCTGTTGAGGTCTTTTTCCTGGAACTGCTTTTTGCTCTATTTTTAAAACACCAGTCCTTATAGATCATTGTCCTAAAATTATCTTTCTGAGAGTCCTGCTCTCAACATAACACTAAGATGTAAGAGGAATTGTTTAGAAGGAACAGTTCTAACTCACAAATTATTAATGGTGTATGCACAGTATTAGAAGATCCATATCCCTCTTCCCTGGGCATTTCATTCCATAGAGAACAAGAAATTATGGTACCTTACAATATACTTTGGCAGCAGTGGAGCCACACACCTAAGTGTCTTACTGTAAACATGTGAATTTCCTTCTTCACCTCTACCTCCCCTTAGTTGACCCAGCCCTTCTCTGTTTGCTGCTCACACTCCTCATATTTAAAACTCAGCCCAGGTATTTTTTTTTTCTCCAGGCATTTACACACTTTGGGATATAACTGATCCCTTCTCCTGAGATCAGAAAGGGTCTGGGGGTTGAACCAGCAAGGGGCCAGCAGGGTTACTCCTCCCCAGAAGCCACAGAGGCACTACAGGGCAAAGCAGGCAGAGCGTGAACCTTGTGCCCACTGCAGGAAAGCCTTTAACAGTCTGTTCCCAAGGCAAAAACAAGACTAAGAATTTTGGAAACAGGATCTTGTATGAGAGAACTGGAAGCAAGCCTGCAAGAAAGGATGTTAGGGATTAGCCTCCACCTGTCCCTGCCATGGACACAGCAGAATTCCTGGCACACAGACACAAGAGTGGAGTGGCTCTTCCTTCCACCAAAGTAAACTTCTAAAGGGTTGTTCAAATCTATCCTGTGCCTACTGTCCAGTCACACAGACACCCACCTCTAATGGAGACCAGTGGGAGTCCAGCACAGGTTTTCACACAGCTCCCTGAGCCCAGCACAGTGCAGTGAAATCTTGAACTCCTTCCATTCCCTAAAAGCCTCCCCTTTGGGGCACTTCAGAAAAATAGTTTACCCCCTGCCTTACAACACAGTAGAACTAGATCAAAACAAAGCAGCATCTCTCTACTGTGAAATGACATGGGACTAATGGGTTTGGTGGGTTTTTTTTTCAATCAGTTAGAGCTTCCCATTTACAGCTGATAATCACTTATTTGGATGTACCTAATATTCTAAAATGGGGTTTTTACTTACAACAATGCCTGGGTAGTAGCCTCCCACAGTAACATTTTCTGTTCGTGTGGTAGCTGCCAGACCTATGGTGAGTATGAAAACAGACACCACCAGCAGGGCGACTGTGAACCAAAGGGAAGTCTTCTTCCTTTTTGCAAACTGCCCTGTAGGGAGTGAGGGGGGAAAAGGAAAAGAGCTTTTAATTGCAATCATGGCAGAACAAATACAAAATTATGATTTTCTTTTGTTACTCTTTTCTGTAGATAATCCTCTGTTGTTCTCCCACTAAGGAAAATTGCTGCCAGACAACAGAAGGAATTAAAACCTGCAGAATTAGCTAGAGTATAGCTTAATGCACATGCATTGGGTACAGTTATGAGTTTTTATTAAACTGAACTGTAACTTAGTTACAATGATAATTATATGATAATTATGATGATAACAATGATAATTATGCTTGTCTTCAGTAACATTTTTAATTGTTGTTCACATTGTTGAGATCCTGCAGGCCTTAAATTCTTACCTGTGTGAAATGCCAATTTGACTCTGTCTGGCCTGAACTTAAAAATGGATATTTTAAACAAGATTAGCAGGCAGTCTGCATGCTATCATGAAAATGAATGTGCTCTTCATGTTTACTGGGGTAAGAAATCTGTATCCTTGAAGCAAAGCTGTAACAGTTTATCAGGTAATGATACATAAGACTTTTCCAGCAGAGGCTGCTCAGTGAAATCCTTTCAGTCTCACTGGGATTTGGGCCCAGATACCCCAAAGTGAAAACCAGCACACTCACCTCCAGCTTGCAGCCTGCGCCAAGGCACTTACCCTGGTTATCCCGCGACAGATCTGAGCTGTAGCCAGAGGTTACTCACACCAGGGCCCCAGCCCACAGCACAGACCTGTGTATGACTAAAAAAGCCATTAATACATGACTCTAACTAACAAAAGACACCCAAGTGGATCAAACTGTGGTCCCCATTTTTGGTGTTCTCACTGTGGAGTGTGCAGGATCACCCTGTAGCACTGGGCCATGCGATGCCATGGTACCATCACTGCACCTGGGCAGGATGGAGCTCCTGAGAAAGCACAGCCTGGCCACAGCAGGGCCAGTCTCTCTCTCCTGTGTTCTCAGGAAGCTGCCTGACTGCCCAGCCTCGGGAGGAGGCAGGGACTGCGATGCCCACTGAAGCCTGCAGGCAGCAGCCCTCAGCAGGTAGCAGGAGGTGAGAGGGGAAGGCAGGATTGTGTGGGTCAGGCTCTGGGGGCACTGCTGGAAGCAAAAGCAAGGGAAATGCAGGAAAAACAAAATGAAAGCCAAAGCCATTTGCAATGAGTCACTTGAGTTTTGTGGCCATTTTAAAGTCACATAACTCAGTTAAATGTTCATAGTTCAAAAGCCAGACTAGATTAGTGATGTTTGCAAACCAAGTCAAATAATTTCAATCAGTAAAAAAATGAATATATAATAACAAGCTGTGTTTGCTGACATTTCTCCAGTAGAACAACCAGTCAAAATTATTCCAGTCTTTTAGTATGAAATACAAACCACTTTCCTAAAGACAAATACCATATATTGAGGTTACAATAGTCTCTTTCACCTGCATGTACAAAGTTTTCCTGCTAATGATAAAAAATTAATTCCTAAGATTTGCCCAACACCTCTCCTCCAGCCTGTGTCTCTGCTGTCTTCCTCTGGCAATTCCCTGTTAATCCATGGAGGGTCACTGGGCACATGGAAGCAGAGAGGTTCTTTGTTAGCAACCAATTTTTCACCAAGTGTGTTGAGTTGAAGACGGTTCTTTCAAAGAAGCCAGTTCACATGGCCAAGAGGGAAATGTAGATTTCAGATGTGCAGCTCCCCAAATCAGCAGTCATTCCTACAGATTAAAATGATTCATTCAACATATCTTCCAGATTGTAAATAATATCTGATGCCCTTGCCATACCTTACCATCTCTGAAAAGTCATGGAGATTAAAGAATCCCCAAAGCTGAAGAAAGGCAAATGCTCCACCTGTTTTTAAAAAGGCCAAAATGAAGATTCAGGGAATTATAAACCAATCAACCTCAACTTGGTTCCTGGGATGCTGGGACCAAAAAGGTGAAATAAGTCTTCTTCTTAAACATTTCTGGGCACAGAAGAAAAAGGTGATTGGCAACAGTCAGGATGGATTTACCAGAGCCAAGTCATGTCTGACCAGCCCAGGCACCAGCTATGGCAAAAAGACTGGACTTGAGGAGCATTGGATGTCTTTTGCCTTAATTCTAGCAAGGTTTTTAACATCATGCCAAGTTGTGAGCAAAGAAGGAACAGTGCATTGCAATGATGCAGGTCAGGGACTGCAGGGCTGCAAAGCAGCTCTGCTGGAAAGGAACTGGGGGTATTGGTAGATGATGAGCTGATCATGAACCAGCAGTGTGCCCTGGCAACAGAATCCTGTACTAACAGGAGCTTCATTAGTGGATCAGAGGAGCAACTACACCCATCTATTCAGAACTTTTTAGATGACACAATATTGCACTCAGTTTTGGGCCCTCAGTATAGGGAAATAAATAAATTAACTGCAATGAATTCATCAGAGAACTGCAAAGAAGGTCAGGGGCTGGCTCTCTCTGTATGAGAAGAGGCTGAGGGAGTGGGGCTTGCTCAGACTGAAGATGGGATTACTTTTGGCAGGGCTAGTTGCAGTCTTCCAATTCCTTTGAGTTGTTGTCAAGAGAACAGACTCAGACTTTTCATCATGATGCACAGCGGGAGGAAAAAAAACAGCAGACAAACTGAAACACAAAAAAGTGTTTCAGACTGGGTACAAGGGGGGGAAAAAATCAACATTAGGATGGTCAAATACTGGAACAGGTTGCCCAAATAACTTGTGCCCTCTCCAGCTTTGGAGGTTTTCAGCATTCAAGCAGAAAAAGCACTAAGCAACCTGGCCTGACTTCATAGTTAACCCAGCTTTGAGCGGGAGGCTGGAATTGCAGCTGGGTACCTTCCTACCTGAATTCTTCTAGAGTTTTATGATAGTCAAGACAGCCAGACTGAAAGCGGGTTGGGTTATGTGTGCTCATATCCTCTGGTATGAAGCTGCAGCTGCAATGTAGACATACTCTAAAGGGACATAGGAACACAAACCTTCCCAAAGCCAGTGGGGGACATGCTCCTCAGCCAAGACTTCTTGAAACCACTGAAAAGTGCCTGAGGAGCCAAGTTTTCTCAGAGTAGCACCTGCACTGGCAAAGGTTGATAAAACTGGATGGAGATAAAACTATGGGTCCAACCCATCCTCCTGAGTTCTGATTATGAGTAATGAAATACATCAGTTTTATCGCCCTGAGTTGCTGGAAAATGTCTAAGGAAAAGAATGCTCTTATTTGTAATTGGAAAAAATCTGATGTGGATTTAGTGAGACAGAATAGAAAAAGATGTCATTATTTGTAGGGACATTTTTTTGTATGAACTACATTTTGACATTGAAATTTACATGTCAGAAGAAATTTATGAATGCAATACTCTTCCACCCTCATATTTATTGATCTTTTACCACCTGCATCTCAAAATAGAGGCAAATATCCAATTGTGTCTCCCCTTTTTCATAGTCTAGGAAACTCTGATAAATAACTATGTCTTTAGCTATGAACTCCACCCTTAGGAGAGATGACTTATGTGCAGGAGCACAGAAAGGCCCTTTCTGGAGAAGAGGCTGGCACATGCAAGAACTTATTCTCAAAAACTTCCACATGCTCAGAGAAGATGTATAGAAATCAGCCTAAATAGGTTTTATCATGGCTGTTTCGTTTTTATTAGTCACATGTCACTATAGGACACGAAAGAACCCAAGCTCACACTGCTGTTCTCAAAGTGAAGAAAAAAAAGAAGTTTATTTTCTAACTCTAACATTTATAGTTTTCTAAAAGAGATAGCAGATTGGAGGGTGACAGTAACACCTCTCCAATGACACTGGTCAAACCAACAGTCTATCAACTCTCTCTTCCTCCATAAAAGAATGCAAAACAATGAGTTATTTACAGAAAGTGTGTAAGAAAATTCACTACAAGAATGTCAACATCAGAAAGCTTAGAAAATCTTAAAAAACCAAAGTAACAGTCACAACAATAAAAATCTTTGCTCCATCAAAGTATGGATAATTACATGCATATAAGCCACGAGCATACTGGGAGGCCAATGCAATATTTGCAAAGCAGCTTAATATCTTCAGAAGTTGCAAAGGGTTCCCACAATTAAAAAGCTTCCTTTTGCAATTTCAGTCATGTTGATGTTTCAAGCCTTTGTTTACTGCTGTTTGTGGCAGTTGCCATGCAGTCTATTTGGGTCTGTTTTCCATGTACCTGCCAGCCAAAGCCCCATGCCAGACTCAGGAGCCCTGTCTCCAGCTCCAGCAGCGTGCCTGGCCCAGCCTTCTTCCCTGACACTCTGTGGCAAGGCTTGGACTGCAGGCTGGCCACACACAAGAACAGCAGTTAAATTAAGAGCAGAGGAAACATTGCAGTCAATATTTGTAGCCTGAATTTTCTCCCAACACCAATGTTCCTGGAGTGCAGGAAACAGTTAATGGAGGCTATTCGCTTTCCAATTTTTTAGTACTGAAGTAACTCTCAGAATAATTTTGACATTTATTACCTTCAACTTCTTTAGCAATGATTGGTATGAATATTATTAAGCTCCTAGTCTGGACCTTAATGCAATTTAATTATAACTTTAAATTCTTATATTTAGCATAGCAAAAAACCAAGCTTGTAGGAAGAAACCTTCTCCTATCCTTATTATCATTAGCTTGAGGCTGGGGTCAATAGAGGGTGTGAATATGTTATTAACATCTATTGGCAATATTCTTCAGCAGTTTTGGCCAGTGAAGTATTGACTGAGCCTTGGGCACTGAGATTTTTGCAGTATTAACTGCAGCAATAGGCACTACAGATAAATTAGAGAGCTAACAGAACTTCCACATGACAGGCTTGTGCTTTGCGTGGTGCAGACCAAAACTGTGCACAAAAAGGAACAGCCACAGAAACACTCTCTGCTTTGTTCACTAAACATCTCTCAGGAAAATTATCTGCTTGAGCACTGCTTCCACAGTGGAAGGTGAGAAAACACCACCAGGACAAGGCAGGGAGACACCAGACTGCTGCCTCCCTGGGACAGAGAAAGGCCTGTCAGGAGGGAAATTGAGACCACCCTCCAGAGAGCAAAAAGAAAAAGTGTCCACACTCTGCTGCACTCAGAAAAAACTTCTGCCTGTTCTGCCAGCAAACAAAATTGTATTACAATGCTCTGTTTGCAGTGGGTGGGGATTAAATTAAATTTATAGGAAGACTACGGAAAAATAAATGGTTTTGTGGGGAGGGTATGTGTGAGATTGCTAAGCGGTGGTCTAATCATGAATAGGAGGGTCTGGATTTGAACAAAGCAAGGAGTGAGTTTAAGAGGGGAATGAATTAACTAATGATGAAACATGCCCATGGCACAGAATGTGTCCAGGGGCCAAGGGAAGGAAAGAGTAGAATGAAACAACATCTCTCCACCTTGGAAAATCACCATACAATCTGCAACTAAACTTTAAAAAGTCTACATTTAGACCAAAGAAACTATACCTTGCTAACTTCACTACTTCTTTTAAAATCTTCAGACATCATAAAGTTAAAAAGTGCGGCATAATCTTTGGTGAGGAAAAAAGTCGCTGTAGGATGTACCAGTTAGCTGGGATTACAACCATATTTGCTGAATATTAGCACTACAAAATTCCATACCTTCTTCTTTGGTCTAGTTATGGTGATCAAAATGGAAACATTTCTTTCAAGTAATGCCCCGCCCAATGTTTATTAGCATCTTACCATGAGAAAAAGAAGGAAACTTTTGTAACAGGAAAAAAGTACTGCATTTTTATTAGGTAATGGATACTACTAAAAATTGTGATATATTTCAGAGAGTGGCATTAAGCTCACAGAAAAAGATAATTTAAGTGGAAATTCACCACAGACAAACCTTAGTACCAAATGTATCCGCTGTTCTGCTGCTATTGAGAAAATTTTTAAGAGATTTTTGGAGCTAGATTATAAATTTTTAATTGCTGCAACATTCACTTCAGTGCCATCTCTCTCTCAACTACAGTTTTGTCTGTTTTAAAAACTGTTTCATGCCAGTGAAATTGAATTAATCCTACATTGCCTCCCAAAATTAAATGTGACGGATTGAGATGCTTAAAAGAGATGCTCACACCTGCTGCTGGTGATTACTTTCCCTTTTCTGATTAAATGCTTGACTTGTCCAGAGTGCTGAACTAATTAAACCAGATGCAACAGCATTCATTTCAAGCCACAAGACAGAAGCTTTTATCAGGCCCATCTCTTACCTTTTTTATTAATTTGTTGAGTAAGCTTCTACAAGTGCATTTATATATTCAAGACCATGGGAAACAGTTTACAATTCTACTACAAAATATCCATAGTGAACAAAATGAAAAAGCAATCCCACAAGCCCTGATACACTATGTAGTGTGGCTATAGTAAATGATACCACGCAGTATCACTATGACCTCATTGTCTGGCAGCAATTGTTTCACCAATAAATAATTTAATGGGCAGCTAATCACTAGTTTAAAGCTGGCATACAGATTCTTCTTTTTCCCACGACTACCTGAAAATGTTTTTAAGTTACAGCACTTCTTCCACGGCCACATTTTCAACACCAATGTAATTTTTCTTCCAAGTTTAAGACAAAAATTAAGATCTGGTATATTTTTCACTTAGCTGTTAAGTGCATAGCAAAGTCTCTGCTTATCCTTTCAAATGTTACACTGAGTAATTGCCAGCAGTAAATTCTGTATTTTCTAAACTTTAACAAATTCCGCTGGAATAAGGAAAGACTTGACCGTTTTTTTGCCAATGTGTTTGTATTTCAGGACGTACGCTGTAAACACAAGCCATACAATTAGGAGAACCAGGAGGACGGGCACGAACCCAACACCTGCCCCCAGCCCCGCACCTGCGGGCACCGCCGCCTGCTCCAGCGGCCCGCACGACGGCTCCCGCATTAATTTCCCGTCCGCGTCCCGTACCAAGCTATTCCTCCGAACGTTCAACCTCCAGCAGAGGGATTCGCCCAGCGCGCTGAAAGCTCTGAAGAAGAGCCGGTATTTTTAAACACGAGCGGATGAGCGGCAGCGCGCACCGCGCCGGGATCTCGGGTTGAGCCCCCCTGCACCGCCGCTCTGCGGGGCTCAGCCCGGGCACAGCCCCCGTCCCGTCCCGTCCCGTGCCATGCCATCGACTGAAGCGCCGGAGCAGCGGCGCCGAGCCCGGGGCAGTCCGGCCGTCCGGCCCCGCCGCCGGCTGCCGCTCTGCCCCGCCGCACCCCGGGGCTCACCTGTGGGGTCCAGCACGGCCAGCGGGCCCGGCACGGCGGGGCCGGGCGGCGGGACCATCCTCTCCCGGGGCGCTCGCTCCGCTCGGCTCCGCGGCGGCGCTGCCCGGGGCGCGGCGGGCCCGCCCCGCGGGGTGCGGCGGGGCCGGGGCCGGACTGGGGCCGGGGCGGAGCGAGCGGCGCTGCCCCCGCCGCGGGGGGACCCGGCCGCCCTGCCCGAGCCAGCCCCGCTCGCCGCAGCTCCGGTGCCGGCCCTCGGGGGAAGCGCGGACCAGGGCTTGGCTTGCGCAGCCGTCAGCTGCTTCATTCATTATATGTCCTAGCCGTGTCTCAGCGTTGGCGGCACGTCTGGATTTCTTCTTGACACCTGGTACAGATCAGAATTGTCCCAAACTTTCCTTTCAGCTTTCTTCTTCACTTGAAAAAATATATTTATATATAAAAATCAGAAATAAAATTCAACAGCAATGAGAAATACTGAGTAAATTACTAAAGCTGGCATCTCAGAGACAGGTTAAGGCAGGTGTAGGCTAAGACAGGAAATGTCAATAGTCAAGAGATGTCAATAGTCAAGAGAGCAGAGTTGTTCTTTTTCTTACATGGTGTCTATCAATTTCTCAACCTCATTGCCTCAGTTTTTATTCCTTCTGCAGATTCTGACTCTTGTCAGGATCTTGCCCAGGAACAGCCAGCTGTTGTTTCTAGTGCTACTTACTGCAGGGTTGTGTGACTTCTGCCTGCAACAGAGTCTAGCAACAACTGAGAAGAAATAGCCAAAGGCATTGTGCTGTTCCTTTTGCCTGATTTCCCTATAGCAGAGAACATAATTTTTTTTTTGTGAAAAGTGTTTTTGGTAGGCTGTCAAGTGCTTTGCTTATGTTATGTTCTCCCCCTTTCAAAAGGCACAACTCTACTTAACATTATTGTTTTTCTTCTGTTCCAACTTCTAAATGTATATGTACACATATGTATTTAAGTTCTTCAGTCTTTGGCAGATTTCCCCAAGCTGTTAGATGAAAAGAGACAGCTTTCTCAGGTACTACCCCTGTAGTGTATAAAGGTAAGTAAGCCAGGAGCTAAGGCCAAACACAAATCCACTTTTTTCTCTTTGCAATCTCTAACCTGAAGAGGTAGCAGAAAGGAGAAAAAATAGGGTAGAGGTAATATTTGTACTATTAATTACTAGTTTTTAATAGAAATTAATGAAGTAATAGATTGAGAAAACAGAGATGGTAATGGTGAAAATAACAAATTTGTTTGAAAGTGGTAGTGGATGAGAGTGATACAAACATCCCAAAATCTGGTAAAGACTCTCAGGTTTGGGGATGGCTATGAATAGAAGTTTACACCAACAGTAAATAACAGCAAGATTGGGGAAGACTTCAATTCCCTAGACAGATGCAAAACAAAGGCTATACACAGCATTTATTATCGGGTCTGATGGGCAATAAACCTTTTATTTACCAGCAGTCACTGTTCAGACTCAACAGCCTAAAGGGAAGCTGTTCTAAAATTCTTTTCAGTAAAATATAAAGATATTATAAATCCTTTAAAAATAATTTGATCATAGAAAATAGTCTTTGATGAATGACTAACATTACTTACTGCAAATTTCTCGAGAACCAAGAACAGATCTACAAAAACATCCTACAGTCTTGGATATCAGAGGGAAAACATTAAGAAACTATGAAAAATTATTGATGAGGCTGCATAGACTTAGCATTTGAGCATGAAAGAATCATGGACTTACTTTAAATCCAAAATGGAATATCCTGTATATCACTTACATCCCATAAAAGAGTTTGGAATAGATCAAGAGTCATTGTGGAGCTAGTGGATGAGTAACTACCTGAAAATGAATGGACCTACAGGAAATAGAAGTACAGTTTGCTGAGTTGGAAATTGCAGGATCAGAGAAAAAAAAAATGGATACAAATCTAGCTGAACCAGATGTTGCAAAGAAAAGAATAACAGATAGCAAAGAATTCTTCAACTACACAAATAGAAGTTATTCAAAGAATCAAGATATGTGGTGGATAAATGCCAGGGATGAGATGAAGGCTGTTCCAAATATTGAATAAATATATTGCCTCAGTTTTCAATGAAAAGAACAAATTAAGGTGAGAGTATTTACAGAGAGAATAAAGTAAGCAAGATAATCTAAAAGATGGTGTTAGCATAAGTTAGGCTGTTTATTGTGGCAAGTCCTGGAAAATCACAACCCAAAAGTTGAAAAAATTGGTATCTGTCTTGTAAAGTCCTGAGCAACACTTTGGATAAATCAGTGAAGTTGGGGTTGAAGCATTGTTATTGGACACTGCTGAAGAACAGGAAAGCTGTCTACGAGAGGCAGAGGGAGGGAGAGGAACAGCAACTCCATGCCCTGTTACTTTGACTGAGAAAATTCTTAGAGGTAAGTGAAAAATGGTGTCAGCTATATGATGGTTCATCAAAGCTAGATCATGTCAGACTACCAAGATGTTTGATAAGGTGATTCCTCAGGCAAAAGCATTGCAGTGAAGCAAATCCGTCTGGATGTCTACACATTAATGGGGTCCTTTTGAGGAAAAATCTTAACATGGAGAGGACAGCTGCAAGTATGGGTGACCATGAGGTACAGGGTGTGTGTGTTTGTGGCATATTTGGCACTAAGCCTGAAGGCCTCCAGCATGTCCTTGATTTCCTCTCCTGCTTTATTGTGGCACACTGCGGGTTTGAAGGATTTTTGCCTTTTTTCCTACAGGTCATCACTCTGTGGTAGTGCATTCTTTGGAAATGAGGTTGGTCACTCATGAGATTTCAATCCTGTGTGTCCCTGAAGTATTTTCTTCTTTATTTTGAATATGATCAATCTGTTTGATCTTTCTTTTCAGGTCATGTTGTCTAGGCTAACAGACATTCCCTTTGCTTCCCTCTAGCCTCTGTGTCATCACACTCTTTGTGGGCCACATCTTTCTTTAAAGGTGATGCAAAATGACTGGGCAATATTCACAGAATCACAGATTGGAAGGGACCACAGTGGATCACCTGGTCCAACCCCCCTGCTCCAGCAGGATCATTTTAGAACACGTTGCACAGGATTGCATCCAAACAGTTCTTGAATATCTCCAGTGTGGGTCACTCCACATTCAAAACAATTCTTTTTCAAAATAAATTTGAATTTTAAGTCTAACAGCATAAGTAAATTTCCTTGGTTCATAGTATATAAATAGTATTTATTGGCATGGTTAGTGGTACAGTCCCTTGAGAAGTACATTGCATTAGTTCAGCTGAGCAGTATAAGGGAATCATGCAGGAAGTGAAAAGAGCATCAGAAGTAGCCCTGAGGTTGAGATAAATGGCCACTGAATATTTGACTAAAATATGGCTATTAAAAGACAGTTTCTGGGGAATTCTCTTCAAAAATGCTGTTTCTGGTGCCAGTCAGTATCCATGGTGTGTTTTATTAGCACAAGATTTAAAAGACTCTGCCTGGCTTCTTTAAAAGGGACTTGAAAAGGTAAAGATACTTACAGCATTGTTCAGAGGCATCAGAAATAAGTGAATGACACATTCATTCATGGTATATGTTTGTCAAAAGCAAGTTTAAATTCTTTAATTGCCTTCAGTACACTTTTCACCTACTAATTTTTGCAGTCAGTTTTTGAATTCTATAAACTTTTAGCATCCACAGCATGTGTGACAAGGAGCTCCATGTGTGCTGTGTGAAGACATGGGATACCCCAGTGGGAACAAAAGGCAAACTGAAAAGAGCAAGATAAAAGTCAAGTTAAATGTCAGGTATATTTAAAGTAATAGGAGAATATTCCTGAGGACAGGTACATGGCCCTTACAAAAACACCCCAACAAAACATCAAGCAAACAATTGCTACATGATACCAAAAGACATTGTGTAATTTATTTGTTAATAAAGCTAGATAATAAAAAGTGTGGATAATGTACTGAAGATCATTCTTGAGTTGTAGCTCATAGCGTTATCAAGACAACAAATCTCTGAAAATTGAAGTAAAGAAAAGGTTTTCAGATAAGTACTTGAAATATTGAAGTACCTGAAGTATTTTGAAATATTGTCATACTGATAGAGCCTAAGTTTATATAAGCTGTATATATACCTCTGCAACATGGTTAATAAAGGTGTGTTTGAAAGATACTAACAATAGCACATCAGAAGTATGACTGAAGAAAAAAACCAATGTAGAAATGTCTACACAGAGGTATTTACACCAGTCCAAACAGGAACAGATCATCAATTTTGTGGAATGCATGAGGAAACTCCTCTGGAAAATGCCTCTTAAATTTCAAAACTATGCCATCACCAAAAGAATAAATCAATCTGTAATGCAGATATACTAATGAAATTTTTATAACAGGTATCATTTTGATTACACTTCTAAGTAGTTAACATAAAGTTTGATTAATTATTTTTCCTAGCTCTTAAAAAATTCCTTTGATAGCACAGTGAATTATACTATCCTTCAAATTAAGTTTTTTGAAGCCCAGAAGTAAGTGAGACACCCAGTACATTTTCTCATGTCAGCTGGTGCCTTATTTAGTCAGGTGGCCTCCATCCCTGTCTGCTGTAGTGACACCAAGTCAAGGACAATGTTCAGCACAGTCTCAGTGAGGGAAAAGAGCTCCTCATGCCTCACTTGTCCCATCCAGGCAAGGTTGTTTCCACCATATATTCTGAGCAGCTCTGCTTGGTTGAGTTTTAAGTCTCATTTACGAAGTTCTCCTTTCCCTTGACAGGCAGTTTTACAAGTTTAATGGAAAATGAGGAGAGTCAAGAGCCAAGTTCCACACTGACAACCCCTCAAGAGCTGTAATGTACTGCAACATTTGTCAAACTGATCTCCTAATTGTTTTACTGATGTACTCCTTTAACTTCAGGAACTCACCGTACTCTTCATAAACTCTAGACAATGAAATATGGGATTAGAGCCATATTCTGACATGCACTGCAGCTTCCTTTGAATCAAAAATGTCTTGTAAAGTCTGTAGAATGTGGTAGGGTGGCTCAGATGGGAAAAAGAAAGAGGCAGAGGGTGAGCAGAGACATGTGGGTCAGCCTTGAAAGCTTGTTCTAGAAGAAGATCTACCAGCCATGGAGAGGTATCCCAGTGAGGTTGAGTGAGTCTTTTTCTCCCTCTCAGAGGGCCCTTAGGAACCACCCACCTATTTAGAGGGGAAAAAGATGGCAGGCATTTTCTGCAGTCCAGTGTTTCACCATTTTCGCAGCACTCACATCCATTGGAAAGATCACAACTGCAGCATTTCTTTCACGTATGAGGGAAGCAGCTTGCCAATTCTTAAAATTGTGCTTGAGTTTAGGAATTAATAAAGATGTGAAGGTGTAACAGAAGAGAGACCATAAAACCTGACTTGGAGGCTGGGTCCTCCTGAAGGACATTGTGTGA